GCCCGGGACCCGAGAGCATATATGCTGAGCCAGGGTGCCCTCATGTCGAGTTGTCACGCACATTGACATGCGGCTTACCGGATTCATGTCCACACTGCAAAAACTGCAAAGTTTTAAAGGGCGACTACCGTTGTTGTCTGGTTCGGCCACTTCTTCTCAAAGCCAATTCACTTTGATCCCATGCTTGGGAGCAGCCGGGCAGCATCTCGAAGCCACATTCCGATCCTGTTTCGGCTTTGCCCTGTGAGACAGCGGGCGAGGGGTGCACTTCTCATTCGCACAATGGACGCATGCGCGCGCGGGTTTTATCAACAATAGTTTGAGCAAGCTCCCCTTCGCAAGCTTTCCAAGTGCTGATGGAGCACTAAGAAGATTGGAAACTCGTCGTCTTCTTCCCAGGATAGCCGGAAAGCCGATGCCTTGGCGACTCAAGTCGACAGAAACCCTGCGGAAGGTTGCATCGATGCTGCGGCTGGTTTTGAAAGCTCCTCACGGGGTCTTTCTTCAGCTGGTCTCGAGAGACTTGGGCGCATTCTTCTTGCTGCAGCCTAACTAACAACCGATCAGCGTCTCGCATTTATTAGCTTCACTTCCTTCATGCTGGCTCTTCTGCTCTCCTGTGGCAGGCCTCTTCTTCGAGAGCACAGCTGTCATGTCGAAGCCATCACGCCGTCGCAGACTGGCCGCCTCAAACAACAACGAGTCCTCCACCCCCCGCTCCAACGAGTTGTGTTGNNCCCCCCCCCCCCCCCCCCCGCGCCGACACAGCCGTCTACGATGGAGTATATGCCAGTATATGCAGGCTCTGTTGTGTCCTGCTCTCGAACCCCAAGCACTTCAAGGTTCGAGCTCGATGCTCTGCCGACAAATCGTCGATGTCGTTTGTTGCCTGTCAGGTTGTGGCTTGACATCGAACCGTCAAAAGCTCCACAGCCTCCTTCGTTTCGGTCTCTTCCTTGTTGTCGGGTTCTTCACCTGATCCGTCAATCACTTCGCACAGCCCCAGCCAAAATTTCAAGTATTAGGTCACACCCCTTGGGACCAGGCGTTCCTCTGCTGCTGGGAGCAAGTAACCTCCTTCCAGCCTGCTCTGCCTCATGACCAAGGCAGAGGCTTGGTCGGATGCTGTGACTCTACTGATGATCTGATACTGCCGGACGTCAACTGCACTACCGGGAGTCACCACCGTATCTCTCTAGCGAAGTGTTTTCACTGCAGCATCCCAGAGCCATCAGTCCGTGGCTCGGCCAACTCAGTGCCGGCACCGCGCACTTTCAACGCCTGCCTGCGGAGCTCAGGTTGCTTTCGCTATTGCCCCGGCTCTCGGCAAAGGTGGCCTCTTGTTGCGATCCACTGCCTGCCACAAAGGATTAACCCATGCGAGGCGAGGTTACACACCAACATCGGACACCAAAGAAAAGACGGCCTCTGGCAGAGAGTCCACATCCTGCAAGCGGCACTGCACAGCTGCAGAAGCGAACTGATGAAAGCAGGTTACTTTGCCAGTACCTCCGCCAAAGAACCGCTACCTGGATCGTTCATTCGAGGTCTCAACGTTGGGGCAGAGCTGGCCGATCGTCACTGCCGTTCGTGCGGGATGATGCCGCAGGACCCGGTTTGGGTTTGAAGCCCCGAAAAGCTAGCCTGGGAAGAGCGAGAGGAGTGGCATTCCTGAAAGCCTAAGTAGTTTCCCAAGAGTGTCTCAACAGTACTTCTCATGTTTTTGTCATTAAAGCGAATCTTTGCAATCGCGTTTGCTCACTGTCCCGCTGCTGTTCTTGCACGCAGCCTTAGGAACTACAACCCTCCAAACGCTTCAGGGCATGCCGCCTACGAATCTCGACCCTCCCGTGTCGTGGCTTCGCGTGCTTTGCCAGCTGATGCAGTTGAGAAAAGTCGGCTTCACGGTGGAAGTACACAAGCCCACCGTCCTCGGACTCACTGCTGCCGCTGCTGCTTGTCCCTGCACTGGAGTGGTCCCACAACTCGCTGTCACCTTTGTTGACGGCGCTGTGGAAACTGCTGGCACGGTCCCTGCGGTCAAATCTCCAAGCTACAACATGAGATCTTCAGCCAAGACACTGCCAAGAAAATCGGCATTGGTGTTCAAGACTGCGGGCTGCGAGCTTGCTTGCACGAGAGAAGCATCAGCATGGAGCTCTTCCGGCTCTCCGTCTGCTTCGACTGCACCTTCTCCCGACTCAGCTTCTCGTGCAACGGAGGCTGATTCCAGGAACTCTGGAATCAGGCCACCTGTGTCATCCGGAGCGATGAAATCGCCCTCCTCCTCCGAGTCCCTGGGTCCTGAGCTGTTATGAAGCCAATCCCGACTAATGTGCTGTCAAGATGCCAAGCCGTCTCCTTCGTTTTGAAACATGGCGAATCCATGGTACCACGTGGAATGAGTGCGTGGATCGACACATGCCATAAGACCTCCTATTTGTGGCAGCACCTGCGACTCTGTTGCCATGGGCTATTGTGATCTGCCACTATCTGCTGCGTCCACATGCCTCGGCTATTCTTGCGCCGCTCTTTAAGAGCGCCTTGGGCCTAAGTACATGAGGCTACAACAGCTCAAGAGTCTCAAGAGATAACTTCGCAAGCTCCTCCTCCGAGTAAGCAAGCTTCTTTTCCAGGCACTTGCACACCTGCCGTGTACCGACGCGACGAGGGAAAACAGCCCGTGCTTAAACCTTGCAATGGCCGCGAAATGGCCATGTCGTTAACATCCTCAAATGCCTCTTTGGGCGTCACTTTGGACTTGATGGTGAGACTTTCACATGACACAAGGTCATGCGGGGGACAGACTGCTAATAAGGCGTTCGTTGCCACGTCCAGAAACTGCTTGTGTAGGAATCACGATTGTTTGGACAACTCTTCTGCATGCGTGGCAGAAACAAGAGTGCCGTGACTCCACCTTCAGGCTGGAGACATCACCCAGATTGGTGTGGCAGCATCACCTGACAGGCAGGTACAGCGACACGAAGCGATCGTGCAACGTACCGTACATGTAGAAGAAATTGCACAACCAAGAGCGCAGATGGTCCGACCAAAATGACCGATTCCTCTAACAAAAATCCCGGCAGGGCAACCAAAACAGCCGCTTAGCTGAGCATAACAAGAAGTATATCCCACCAAAAAAACGATTGCTTAATATTGCTTAACCAGAACAGTGCATCGTCCAACCACTTCGATGCTAACCTAGCCTAATCTACTCTGATCCTAACCTAACCTCATCTTACCCAACCAGACCTAACACAAGCAAACGAAACTCCTACACGCCCAACCTGAACAGACTCCGACAACCTTAACCCGGCCTTACCCCAACCTAACCTAGCGATCCAACTTAAACCCGACCCAACCCAACCCAAAGTCCCCAAACCTTGCCTCTTCCCGACAGGCTAACACAACCTATATCCCGGACGTGAGACTCCACCGCAGCCTCACCAGCAAGGGACCTCCAACCCCAACCTAACCCCACACCGCCAACCTAACCCTGACATATGCTACAGCCGAGCCTGACCCAGCTTAACCTAAGCCGATCTAGCCTAAAGCCTAAACCCGACCCAACCAGCCCAAAACACCCTAACCTGACCTATCGCAAGGGAAGCCCAGGCAGCAGATGCAACAAATTTGATTATGATTTTGGTTTCTTGGTTGTTCAATCGGTCTGTTTTAATTGTGCCAACCGCGGTTTTGGTTGTTCGAGAATGCGTTTAGGTAGAAAGCTTGGTTGGTTGGACAATCGGTTCTGATCCGCACTCTCTTGGCTTCAGAAGTCACGAGAGCAATCTGGCTGGAGCTCCTGCCTCTGCAGCCTGTGGTGCCTTGACGGATGCCACGCGATTAGTGACCTTGTTGGCTGAAGCAGCGGATTTGGCAGGTGCACAAATCTCAATCTAGAGCAGGCCTCCTTAAGTCGGCAGCAGGTGTGGGAAAAGGAACCTTGCGAAGCACAAATGGTCTCCTCTTGCAAAGCCACCCTGCAGCCCTGTGTCAAGCAAGGCTGTGAGCGTCGCTTTGCCGCAACCTCACCTGCTGAAGAGCAGCTCCGCCTCCAGGTGACACTGCGTTATCGAGCGGCATGTATAAATTAGTGAATTTATGCACAAGCGCATGCGAAATCTTGTATGCTCAGGAGCTTGAAGTATTTTGCCTGCCACTGGGTCAGGAGAGCGCAACTCCTTGTCAAGCGATTCGCGTCAAATCATGGACAGGCGAATGCAATCTCCAGTCCTTCTGGAGGCGGGCGTACCATCTCAAGGCAGGCACGGCATCACCAACTTGGTAAAACCTTGAGATCACGGTTTGCAGACGCGAGCCCATGAGTCTGGGCAGAGGCCTTTGCTCAGATAACTGTCTGTATGCTTCGGCGAGGCGCCCCTGCCACTGAGGCTCTGCGAATTACTGTGTTGCATGAAGAAACTGCCTGTTTGTCCAGTCGGGCCTCTTGTTCCTCCTGCCTCTGCAGCCGCATTGTCTCAGAAGCACGTGCATCTGCTTCTTGCATCAGTGTGGACTCTTCCTGCGGTGGCATCCAAGTTTCGCAGACAAGGAGTAGCTGAACCACCTTCCCTCAGCGGTGGTCCTTCTGCGCGGCCAAGGCCACTTCTCGCAGCGATGTCTGCAAGTCCTGTTGCGAGGTCTGTGAGATATGAGCACGGGCGACAGCAGCCGAGTGGCTTTGCTAACTTTGGATGGTCGCAATGCCAGATCTACAGCGGAGTCCTCCGTACCTCGCTGTACGAGCTTGGCCGCTTCGAGCCTGCTCTTCTCGGGCTGAGCAAGGCACCAGGCACCGTCAGCCCCGTGCCTCTTTTGGCTTAAATGCTTCACCATGCTTGCCAGACGCTTGCTCTCGATCCGTGTGGCCGACAACAGCTCCTCTGCCTCAGAAGCTACACCAGCTCCCATGGAGGCGTTGGCAGGTTACAGCTCTGTCGAGGCACAGGCTCTGTCAGGCAACATGCAGACAGCCTCGTGTTAGCTTCGCTACATCCTGCCAACTTGCAGAGCTTAGCTTCCCGCCTTCAGGACACATTGGACAGAGTGCCCACGATGCTTTCCATGAAGGCAACATTCAGCACACACACAGCTAGACCTTGGATTGTTGCACTGCAATGGCAGGAACCACCAGTTGGGAGTAAGCCGTGGGCTCGCAGTCCAAGCAAAAATAGTTCACCGGCTCCTTCTGAATCGCGACTGTCGTGTGCACCGTGGAATGGCAGGCCAAATGATCTTGTGCGAAGCTCTTGTTGTGCAGGTCGGCGATCGCAGGAGTATTATCGTGTCCGACATCACGCACACATATATCGTCCAGATGACATTGCTCTTTGCATGTGTGTGAAGCTTAGCAGCTTGTCCACATCTTCCAGGCTAGCTGCAGCATTTCTACAGTTGTCTTCAAGTTATACGCTGGCAGTTCGAATTAGGATTATGACTCCAGCCGCCACACTGTGATGGCTCTTGCACTCCTCCGGATGCCCAGGACAAGCATGGAAGCGTCGGCTCAGTGACGGGGCAGCGATCGGAGGTGCTAGTGCACCTGCAACTTCAGCTCTACGACTTGGTGTAAAGGCACTGCAGTGCTTCACTCTTCACACCTGGTTTCCAGAGCTCTGAAGTAATCGTCTGCAAACAGTGCTTGGTCATTCTGCCCTGCCTTAGAGCGGTCAATGGGTACTTTCCTCATGACCACGGACAGTATGGACTACCCAGGACCGCGGCCGATGAGTTGCATCCGAGCATCCTTCGCTGCGAAAACAGATCTTCGAAACAGATCGGGGAAATCCGAGGGTTTTTTCCCCGAGCGCTCCGGTATGTCTTTTTGTGAATTGCAAATGATTGACATCGTGTGCACGAAACGTCTCCCACCGTGCTCGCGTTACCGATTCCGAAGCTCACGGGCTCCCCTGGACTCGCACCTGGACACTTAGCGCAATTGCCTTGGCAATGTCGCCTCAAGCCAGAAGAGTCCAAGGCCTAAGCGGCCCCACCACTGATGTCCAAGCCGGTTTGTCGGGTCTTACACCAGGCTGGCACGTGGACAAGGATCGGCAAACCGAACGACGCAGACAACAGGGTCATGTAGTACACCAGTCTAGTTACTTCACTGTGGCCGACCAACAATTCAACAGCCCGTGTCTACCCTCTACCCAACTCTATTAACTGAGCCGCCAAGACTGTGGCATCTACAGCCATGGGAGTACCAATTGCTTTTGGCGCAAGCTGGAGGACTGCTCACAGCTTAACTTCAGGCGAAACGAGCCAACTGCTGGCGCAAGTGCTGACGCGAACGATCAAACTTAGGGCCGGCAATATGCATCCGGGCGGGGCATCACGAAAGAGCTACACTTTAAATGCAGGGACATCGGCGCACCCCAAGCCCCCGAGCCCTCAAGCTGTCGGCCGCTGCAACACGGGTAGAGGTCACAAGAGCGACTCGTGGCCATAAGGTATGCAAAACCACCCCTTCGCCCGGGCCCTGACGGGCGGGGAGGGCTGGACTTCCGCTGGAGCCCAGCACTGCCAACATCAGCCCTGTCCTTTGTGACTCCTCCCGCCCTCCATCTCACAGTCGGAAAGCTTCCGCCCCGGAAAATTCTAAGCACGGTTTTCGCCACGAAACACCGCGTAGCAGCGAGGTCCTTTGCAGAAGGTTTCCTGGCACTGATCGCAGTGGATCTCCGCTGGGCCGTCCTGGCGGCAAACACCACAGGAACAGATCGAGCTGCGACGGGCATACTGAATACTACCAGCAAGCCCAACAGCCTCGCACTGTCCGCAGCGGCGGGCCTGGGACTTGCACTCAACCAGACGTTTAAAGGCACTCGCAACATCGCACGTCCGGGCATGCGGCATCTCCTTGCGGCACGTTCTCCATGCTCTCAATGACGGAGCTCGGAGAATTCGGAGAGACACCTCAGCACATGCACGGCTGTTTTGCACATGTTGCTCATGTCCGAAAGGCGAACCATAGTGGGCTCCCAGCTCGGCTGGCTGCACACTGCAGCGCCAAGCTTCGTCTTGCCAAGCCTGAACACGGCCAGCTCTACCCTGCTGAGATTCATGGTAAGAAACTCACAAGGCTCGCCTCTCTTTGCTAGGAGCATCTACAGCACTGTTGCTCCAGGATGGCTCCTTGTATCTGCTGTTAGAAATGCACGGGGAACGGGCAAGGAGATGGGCGACTTGTCTTTGTGAACCGCGACTGAACAGCAGGCTCCCTGGTCGAGCGAGCAAGAATCCTTGTCAGCTAAGGCCCTGGCTTTGCGTCTGGCCGGCCTAAACGTTCAGTAGGTTCTGCATGTTTTTTTGGTTTTTAAGACTATGAAAACTTCAAAAGGGCTTGCCATGCAACTATCGAGTCTGGTAGCCCGTCTACGGCGCCGCAATTCAGGGCAGCAGACGAAGTCTCGTTGCAGCTGAGGCCAGGACTGCGGGACAGGAGGAGGCAGCACCATTGGGGACGTGTCGTCAGAGAGATCTGCCATGTCATATCTCACGACTGCTTTAGGTTGGATTCTGACGCTTCTTCAGAGTGCGGCATCAGAAGGATTCAAACATGCCGCGATCTCCGCGCGATGTCTGAACAGCAGGGCTTGCAAATCCACTTGCCAGGCGAGTCGACCTGACCCAAGACAGTTCCACATAGCCACAAACCAACCCTTGACCCTCCTTCAAGTTCTCCTTGCTTCTTGCCCAAACTGCTGGGACTACAGTGCAGCGTCAGCGTGCGGCTCTATGCTTCGGTTTTCAAGGAAAGTATACAGGGGTATCAAGGTTTGAGTCAAGCTTTCGTCATGCTCCTGAAACAAGGAGCGGGAAAAGCTGCGTAAGTTGACGCAATGTTGACAGAAAAAACATCAAGCATGGAGCTCCGCTTGTTGAGAGAATTCTTCCTTAATCGGTGCAGCATCTCGTCTCTACAGGCATGGGCTGTGGAGACGAGAACAGGCTTCGCCCTCAAGATTGCTAGGTTTGAAACGGGTTTGGGGGGATCGCTCTTGTCGGCAACGGCTGGATGTGCGGTGCTACGATCAGCAACTACCCGAGGTCAACTCTTCCTGGCAGGCCCCCGAGTCTCCGAGCTAAGTGCTCGACTGCGACGGCGACGAGCAGAGGCCCTCCAGGTACGATGCCGCGGCAGCGTCGACCTCTGTGACGGCGTTGCATGCCTCGCACAGGTGCTTTCACACGGATACACGGGGAACACAAGCGGAATCGCTCGCGAAGCCTTGCACTGCACGACGTGTGTCCTGGGAAAGCCACGAAGAGGTTGGATTCATGGATACTACCGGTCGGGTCGTGAGCCGAAAGCCCACGTAAGGCACCGGACCCACGTTTCTCCAGGGACTCTGCAGCGCATTGCAAGCAAAGGTGATGTTCACACACCTCGGCGCGTCACCGGAGACCGGGCCACCCCCCTGGCACCCCATCACTCAGCTTCTGGCCAACAGAAGGGATGCACTTTCCAAGGAACGGCCACACCTGTCGTGTTCGATAACGCCTCGCATGTAGCTTTCCCTGTGGGCCTGAGCACCTGGCCTCGCACAGATTTCGTCCACAGGGCTTCCAGCGCAACCTGTCGCCCAAGCATGCTCCGTCTTGGAGCTATCGTGACTCTCTCGTGCGGTCTGCTTGCAAGCCAGATACTTGCGGGGGTTCCCAAGGACATCGACTGCAGGCCGGCCTGCAGTCGTTGGTTGCAAAGCATGCTTGTACCGAGAGGCTGCTGGTGAGCCTCGTTTGGCCATGGCTTTCTCTCTAAGGCATCGCTGCAAGGGATCCCGTGACTGCGCTCGGAGAGCCGGAGCCCGAATATAGATGACTTGGCTTTGGCCTATCCGCCAATCGCTGATGGGTTTTTTCGGGACTTCTTTTCTCTCCATCGCAGAGTCTGTCTGTGAAACTATGGTACGATGTCCCTGGGCCAGCGGCCCGGGGTCCGACAGCAGCTTTGGCCTGCAGCCACCCACGGCTAGAAGTCTCTCCATCTTAGAAGGGGCTTCGACTCAACGCCCGGTAACTGAATGCTTCCGAATGACTGTCGTCAGGTCACGATCTCTCTCAAATCAGCCCACGTCCTTCCACCATCCTTCGATGCCTGGCGTCCCGGGCTCGGATGACATGTCGTCTCGCACTTCGCTGCTTCTGAGTCAATGAGTCATCAGTGCAAACGGAATGTTCGAATCCCCCTAGATTTCCTGGATACTGCTCGGCGCTCAATCTGGTCCATACAGGCATCTTCTTGCGCGGCAGTTCCCCTCCGTCACGGACCAATCCCCTGCCTCTAGCAGCCCTTGCTCCTCGTCCACGCGGATGTGCACCTGCTCACACTCGGCACCATGCCCTGCGGATACATGCGTGATTCATCAACGAGCTCAACAACATTGCAAGCTTATGTTTTGCACTTTCCCCTGATGCACCGCCCCCTTCGCCAGTTCAGTACGGCACAGCCCGCCTGGAATCTGACAATGCTTGATCGGCAAGATGAGAGCATCATCCGAAAGATCAACCCCGATTCGAATGCCAAACGCAGGTTGTCGTGGTCGTCGTCGTCTTCTTCCTCCTCCTCCTCTTCCTCCTCCTCCTCCGCCTCCTCGTCTTCGTGGTCGCGGCCTTGGCAGTGGCCGCGTCGTCGCCGTCGTGTTTTCGCAGGTTGCCGTCGTCGTTTTCACGCGTCGCCATCGTCTTTACTGAAGTCGTCGTTCCCTCCGACTTTCACAACTTTAGAAATGCAGCGAAAACATCCCATCATACCTGGTTACCAGCGGCATGCTAAATGCTCTCTGTCAGTTGTCCCTCGGAGAAGTGCAAACTGCAAGGAGCAGTACAGTACAGTACAGTACAGTACAGTACAGTACAGTACAGTACAGTACAGTACAGTACAGTACAGTACAGTACAGTACAGTACAGTACAGTACAGTACAGTACAGCCGCGACCAAGTTGCCCTGTGGAGTTTGTTCTTAGGATAGAATTGGTATAGGTATCTCTTTTCAGTTGGTGCATGACGCTGCTTCCTCAACTTAGCGGTCTTGAGTTCCATGGTGGCTGAGCTCCTGGCTCTCTTTGTTCCGCAGAGGTACACCCCGTGTTCGAGTCCTCAGCACAGCTCACGGCAGAGCAGAGCGGAGTCTCGGAGCTTTTCTCAGGTCTCTGCGGCAAAGGAGTGCTCTCCAGGCTCTATAACGTCCACGGTTCACCAGCCGAGCAACCTTCTTGCGGGAAAGCTAACTTTCTGATGGCTCCGACAAAGAAGGCTGCCACATGCTCCCTGCGACTGCCCTTTCACACTCTTGGTTCCCGGGGTTCCACATCGATCATCTCACCTGCTGTCTTTCTCGTCGTGAGATCGACAATATTAGAAGAGCCTGTGGCGGCAAGGTACACGGAAGAGTAACGAAAGTAGGGGGCTCACAATACACTGTCCGGGTTCAAAAATCTGTTTCACAGTACAGGGAGGTATACTCCGGCCCCCCCTCGAAATACATTCCTGTTTCATCTTAGTGCGTACTCCGAGAGTGTGCAAGAGCATATCAGATGGGTTGCCCTCAGTGCGACAGTCATGAATGAATGGCGAAGCCTACGACAAGCGCGCCTAAAAGCATGGAAGCCTCAGAACCTTCAGACTCTAGCTTGCGCCGTACATGTTCCTGTGCTCGTCCCTCTCGAACCTGACACAAAGACGAGCACAGGGGGTTTCGAATGATGCGCCAACACAAACTGCAAAACACAAAGCTGAGCCCACAGTGGCATTGACTCTGCGTTAGATATTGAATGTTTGATGCTTGCGATTCGCCTTGTCGCCACGTGCGGTGGGATGTGCTGCCGAACGGATGTGAGAGCTTCATGGCAGGACCGTCGAGCCTTGCACCACTAGGCGCACACTAAACTGTGACAACGGTGTTCACCATGAGACGATCTGATTCCAGTCTTTTTGTTTGGGATCTTGGCTGTACCTGCCGAGAGTGAATGAGGCAAGCTGCTGTTTCGGCTCTTATTGGTGTTGGGTTCTTCTCATGTGCTAGTACGGAAAGGACCATATGGGACCTGAGGACGACCGAAGGCGAGTGATGGATTCTGTCAAGCTGACGATGAAGGAAAGCTCAGAAATCTAGGTGCGTGACGGCAGCGTCGACTGGGTCGTCCTCGTGCGGTCGGTATTCCCACCTTGGGGATGGTGCAGGATGACTCGAAATAAATAGAGACTTTCAACTTGCAGTGTTCGACAGCAAGGGCTGTGTGATGCACGCCGAGAGTATTCCATCCTGGAGCCATGTACGCCGTACGCACAAGGCGGGACACACGTCGGAACCATAAATCAACCAGGACAGCTTCTCACACACACACACACACACACGGCAGCCTGTGCAGGGAAAGGTGTACTTCCCAGACGAGACTCAGAAAGGGCATGAGGACGAAAGACCCGTCGCCTGAGTTGCTCAAGTTGCGAACAGCTCCCAGGGAATGCGCAAGAAACTGAGCCGTCGTCGCACTGGGGCCTTGTCTGGAATCTAGTGAGTGACTCTGTTACGCCACAGGCTGCCGCCGGCCTGACCGATCTGCCATCGGGCTCGCCGCAGGGCCCTCCAGCGCAGTGTTGGCATTTACGACGAGTCACCCATGCTTCACACCAGACAGCCGCATGAATGACAAAAAGCAGACAGTGATCGCGACGTTGGTTAAAGGCAGCGTAGTGCGGTAGGGGTGTGACTTGCTGCAGCTTGCCTGTGCGTTGTTGGAGACACTCGGCCGCGATCCGCTTGACATACTCAGACTGGCAAGGGAACTACAAGCGAGTACAGAATTCCAGTGTCATGCCCACAAGAAGGCATGAACAAGAGCAATCGGGCCTGCTCATCGCTCCAAGCTTGTCAGTTGGCAACCCTGCAACTTTGAAGCTTCCATGCAGCAGAACGTGTGTGTGTGTGTCACTTGTCAGTAGGAGTTTCTGCCTACGTGCTGTGTGCCGAAATCAACTGAGTCTCCTCGTTCGTTTCTCGTTCACAAGCAAGAGCACAGATGGAGCCGAAGTATGGATTTGTGAGGCTTCTCTGTAGGACCCGAAATACAGACAGATAGGCAGAAACATAGATAACTGGATGGACAGATTGACGGATAGATAGATGAATGCACAGATAGATGGACAAATAACGGACGTCCTGCAATGGTCTTGGGTTCATGTGAAGAGTGGTCCCCGCCCACCTGGGTCTCGTCCAGCCGCAAGCTTCTCCAGCTCGGCCATTTGCTCCATCTGCTGCCTCTGCCAGTCTCCGTTCTTGGCGGTGACGGTTTTACTGGTCAGCAACAAATCTTCGACGCACCTCAGGCGTCTCATCTCGCGCAAGAGCTCCTGGAAAGGACACTTTGCCGTTGACAAAACTGACTTCACCTGCCCACAGTGCCTGGGACTGCCTTCCAGTGCTGGGAGGCGCAGCTGCTTGCCGCTCGAACCTTCTGGAGACGAATGCGAACAACCCAAAAGTTGTCAAAGGGTCCCGCAGCTTTGGCCCAGGCTCTGCATCCTGCGGACTCGAAAGGTAGGTGTCCTCCTCCAGCCAGCTTCCAGTCACGGAAAAGGAATCGCTTAAGTGAGAAGTCTCACGCCTCCAAGTACCGCGATGGACTGCAAGCCTCCTGCCCCGGTGAATTGCTCTGCCTGAACAATGGGCCGTGAAGTGCAAAGCCAGGAATGAACTCCGAGCCCCGGACCTGAAGGATTCCTGGAGGCTTCTGTGTCATGCTCATGTGGCTTAAGGGCATGGCATGACCTATGCCCACCTGAAGCGACATCGCCCTGCTCTGCCTAAGAATATGAGACGCCGGCTTGCACTTCAGTTCTTTAGATCGCATCTCCAGCCCGGGGTGCCGACGAAGTGGGTGCACCTGCATCAAAGCATTGCTTGGCCAGACATTACAGTAACTTTCTCAGGCATCGTTCTGTCGAGTGCAACTGCAATGCGAGAGATAGTGCGTTGGCGCACCTCGGATGTCCCCGTTCGAGAATGCATCCTGCTGCACATGTTGCGTGATGCTATCATGCAACAAATCTTAAGATCCGACGGTGATCTCAGCAAAGCATCAGGCACTTTTCGACTGCGCATTGCGCTTCTCGGCACGTGTGTGCTTCAGAAATCGGTCTTATAGATACCCAAACAATAGGGTGCGGCCGCCTGGCAACATGAATCGACTAACTAAACCAATTAGAACAAGATTCTACCCAAACACCCAATGGCGTTTGACTGAGAAGGCGGTCGCACTAGCGCACCCGGCTAGAGCCGCGCGAACGAGGGCGGCATCTAGCTGCGGATGCGTCCAGCCTGGATGGTCCAGGAAAGGCTCACCATGTCTTCCAACGCTCCAGGTCCATTGATCCGAGCGGAGCAATAAGCAAACAAAGCATCGAATGACGAAATAACGACCTGCGCCTTGCGCGTGCATCGAGACAGGGTTTTGATTGCCTTAAGGTTTTCTTGGTTCCGCGGCTGTGGTAAATCATTCGCTGGCCGCCCAAGAAACCAGCACATGACTGCGAGGCCACGACAGAAGGAGTCGTCTGGCATCCCATGTCTTATGGGAGTCTCGCCACACATTCGCTAGCCACCGAAGAAATTCAGCAAATGGCTGTGGGGCCACGACAGAAGGAGTCGTCTGCCATCCGATGTCTTATGACG